GAAGTTGGCAAACATGAACATGTTGTGTGTAGATTACTGACATCACGTTGCACTGATAACAACCAAAGGTTTTTGTCACAGTTACTTCTTACTGTTATTTGCAGCTGTGAGCCTGCAAAATCCTTTGCATCATTTTTAAAAAGATGTGCAATCATATAAGTTTTAGCAAATAGACCTGAATTTAAGCGAACTCGCTTCCTTTTGTCAATGCTGGCTTGATAAACTGTTTCACTTAGAGGCTAAAATGAAATTAAACTGCTTTCATTATCAAATGTCAGTTGGTTAATAATTCATAATATTGAACCTTATTTAATATATTACTTTTCACTTAATTACACCACTAATACATTTACATATTATACAGCATGATTTTACTTAAACAACTGTTTCACATCTTAACTGACCAATGTACCAAATAAGTACAATGCTGTGAGAAAAAACAAGCTGTGTTCCCTGAATAATAACTGCTGAAGTGATTCATTACAGATGGAGAACATGAACACGCATACAGTTTTTGGTGTCAAACATCTATTTAAAAGTTTATGATTGTTAAATGGCCATTATCAGTTGTTGTCATGCTTATAATTATGTTTCAGTAGGGACAAACTGTAGGCCAAAAGGCACATACTGTTTCATGAGGCAACCCCTAGCAGTCACCGTCGGTGACATCAAATAAAAAGTGACAAAGTCTGCATAGGTGGATGGGTGAGTGAGAAAAGTTCATTGAAATGAGAGACAGCTGTTGGATTCCTCTTTCAAACCAGGAGTCCGTAAGTCATTATTTTAAGCTAAGCTATGATCTTTCTCTATAACATTTTGTGCCCATACCTGGTATTGTACACTCGGCATGTATTATCGTAACCATGATGACCGATGTCTGGTACATGGCAATGGCCTACTCAGCTGACTGGGAAGTGGAGAAGGGTCTTACTAACCCACGGCCCTGATAACAACAGACAATGACCACTGACTGGCGTAATAACATTCAAAGCCGGTGGTTAAAGAGTTGCTATTACATACACAGATAGAACAGGCTGCAGACATTGTCTTTAAACTGAAACAATTATTGAAAGGTGGCTATAACTGCACATAGTTTCTGAGGAAAGAAAAATACTGTATGGATATTTTTGTCATGTAGGTCATGTTAACAAAGAGCAGGCTCGGAGGTGGGTGGGGTTTTTACCTTATTTGTGGTGGCATGCAGGTAAATCCTTACATAACCTTGACAAAAGCTTTTGTTGAAAGAAGAATAATTTCAGCATCCAAATTTCACCATGACAGTGGCTGCTTATTTCCTAACAGGCATGTCAGAATTATTATTATTATTTTGCAAACCAACCACATGTTTACCATGTTGGTGCCTCTTTAAAGTTTGCACAGTATCATTTAACCTAAATTTTGATTTTCAGAAGAGACTAGAGCCATGAGTGCAACCAAAAGAGGCCAAAGGCAGTAACCATTTCTCTTTGGAGTATTACCTTTAAGCTTGTTCATGTAAAAAAGGTGCTTGAATTTTGCATTTCTATTGTGAATTTATCTGAAACAAAGCAATAACAGAGAAATTTTTAACAATTCTAAAACACTGCAATAACAGCAATGTTAAATGTATAAGACAAAAGGACAAAAACAGGCAGACAAGATGTTCTAAATTTGTCAAATGGCAGACAAAGATGAATTAGACAGTATCTGTGGATGTTGTGCCTAGTGAATATGACGCATGTTCATTTATGTGAAATGCAGCATCATTTAGAGTCCTCCCAGCTCTTACCATGTCTCTTCAGTTCATTGCATTCAGACACACTGCAGGACAGGCATGTATGTCTTAATGATGTCTTTTGAGCTGGCAGCCACTGCTGTATAATAGTGGACTGGGCACTGCTCCTTTGGCTCTCTACTCACTGCCACATGGGTGTTAACCAGTTATCCCAGTCAGATGGTCAAGGTTGTATTGAGGTGTCAGTATCATCAGTCTGTGAGAGTCAAATCTAACAGAAAAGAAAATATATGTATAGATTTATTTTTCATCTTTGATTTTTTTTTTCTACTGTCGCACACCAGATGTTTCATTCAGCGAAGCATCAATTTGAATAGTAATGCAATTATTTTCCATGAGCCATACACTACAGTATGTGCATGATCAACAGCACAAGACCATCAGAGATGCAGATTGTCTGATAGACAGCTGAGTGCATTTTGGTGGTGTAGTGTTACCAGCACAATAGTACTGGGATCGTTTTGTCAAGGGGATTAAATGGATTTATGTCTCTGGATTAGAATATAACCAGCTGGGTACATTTGTGAAAGAAAATGTTTGTCTCTGTCTCTGTGTGTGTGCCTTTGTATTACTTACAGTAAGGGGACCGAAACCTGTTTACACACTCATCTTGTGGGGACCTGGAAATCACTGAAGTTTAAGTTGGCAACATGGTTTAAGTTTAGGATGAGGTTAGGGTTAGGTTAAGGTTAAGGTCAGGGTTAGGGTTAGGCAAGTAGTGGTTATGGTTAAGGTTAGGATAAGTCTACAGGAAAAGAATGTAAGTCAATGTAAAGTCCCCACAAGGAATGAAAACACAGTGTGTGTGTGTGTGGATGAGATAGGGCTTGTTTTAATGGTCTCTGTCGCTTCTTTTCTTTTCTTTTCTTTTTCTGAAATCTTGTTTATTGTGGCCACTGCTGAAGTTTCATTCAAAAGAATTACTACTAGACACAGTTTGCATAAATGGCTGTGGTATAATCCTCCAGCAAAACAAAATCTAGCAGCACCTATAGTCTGTTTTCTTTTATACTACAGTTAGAAACTTTGATGCCTGTTTCTCTCCTGCTGGGGTTTAAATTGTGTGCGATCTCCCTCATGTGCATAGTTCAGTGAACGTATCCTTCTCAAGCTGCATAAAGCTAGATAATAAGGTAAATGAATAATTTACCTTTGAATCTGATTTTATTTTGGTCTCCATCTTCAATAACTAGAGGAAGGGCATTATGAAAGACAGTGTTAATGGTAAAAAAAAACCAACCCGTATACACGCTGTAAAACAAATGATCAAAATAGTGCTCTTTAAATATTGTTGAAATGCAGTTGGAGGAATCATTGTGTCAAAAATCATCATCAGTGCTTGGGATCTTACCACTAGCAAATGGTCTTGATTCTTTTACTTTTCTCTTCTCATGTGGTCACTTTGCAGCTGCCAGTTTCATGCTTGCCTTGTCATAATGCTTTTTCAACAGCCTGCTTCTCATAATCAAAGTAATCTTTTGTGAACAAAGTGCATTTTTTAATTTCTTTTAGCAGAATCATATTTTTCTAGTAGTCCAAACTGCTGAAATTAGGAAATGATAAATGCATGAGACATACAGCTACCCACTGTTCAGCTTATCTAAATCAAATTTACATAAGCTTGTGTGCAGATTTCATGTTTAAAAATAAATTAAATAATCCATTTCTATTTTACTTCAAATATTAAATACACATCCTAATTATTCTCCATTCCTCAAGGGCTTGGATAAATGAGGCACTGTTTTAATTGACAATAATACTTATTAGAAAGAGTGAGAAAAACAAATTATCCATAAAATTGACTAAATTGGTCTTGCTGCAGTATGTTAAGTGAAGCAAAGATCTTTATAACAGCCTTGTAACTTGTTCACAAAATGATGATTTGGATTGTGTTTTGTGCATGGTGTCTGATTTGGAAGGGGAACCGGTGGTGATGGTAAGTTTTGGGTCAAAAAATCTGGGAAAGAAACCATTTCAAAGAGGTAGGAGTTTGTTTTGTAGTGAAAATTGGACTTTTGTGCCAAACTGGCCTCATGGTTATGGTTTGGATTACAGGGACATTTTTGTTGTATAAATAGTGAGATTGCATGTTTCTATCTCATTGCATGCTTCTATTTCAGCTCATAATTATTGTTACACAATTGCATACATACTGTACATACATAATTGTCACATAGAAAATAATGTAATATCATCAAATTATATTTTCATTTTGTTCATATCTGCAATTCTAAGTATTTAAATATTAAATCTGGAATCAGTTTCTGGGTGAATCATAAGCACTTATAGACAAATAGAACTGGTGAACCAGTGTTTTTGTTCTTCTTATAGGCAGGCTGTGGGCTCATTTTGTTGGTTTTGCATGTTAACAATCATCTATTAAAACAATTTATTTTCCCACTGGTAGCATGATGTTTACTTTACTTTTGTGCTATTACTCTACCAACATGTAATTCCTCTCTCAGGCTCATTTAATACAGTGACAGATTTTATATGGCAGTTTTCTCACCTCCACAACCCCCACTTTGATTGCCAAAATTAATGGCAGGGCATTTTCATTTGTGAGGCAATCTCCTTCTGCATTGCCAGTATGTGCTCACTGGTCACTGCTTTCAGTGCTGTGACTATATCACCTGAATAGAGTTCCAGTAACACGAGACCCTGCTAACTGTTCTGAAACCTTAGAGGTATTGCTTTACCACAGCCAGCTCTATTTATTTAGGTTATTTTCTCTTGCAGGGCATTTCATCACATGCTGTATAGACCAGCTTTTCATTTAAGAAAAGGGATCCCATAGAGTCTGTTGAATTAAAAATTGTTGATACCAAATGTTACAGTCCATCACATAAAAAAGTCAAATAAATAAAAATTTTATGAGTCTATCACAACAGGATGCCTCAGGCCTAAAGGCGCTTTTTCATCCCTTCACCATCTTTTGCCTCATGGTCAATATCAATTCTTAAATCTAATAGTGGTGATGCTAGTTTTTATCTGCAGCCATCAAAGACTTGTTTGAAAGAATTTAATCCTTAAGCATTATAGCAACTATTCAGAGGGGCAAGAGACTAGAGGCCTATAAGCAGCCTTTCCTCTGCACAGGTTATAACAGGTCACTTGCATGTGATGTTTAATGCCTTGCATGGTTACAACATGCAAAGGCCAGTACTAGTCTGCATGCTGCTTAATGAATGTCTTCCTCTCTTTCTCTTTGGCTGTCCGCTTCCAGAAGACATCTATACTGAAGGTGGGTATGCTACTAAAACTGCTTGTTTTTATTCTTGCTAAAATTCTGTATGCATACGTGTTGTCAGGGTTAAGGCTCCACAAATAAATGTAAGCAAATGTTTTATACTGGTAACAATGCTGATGTTACTGGAGTGGTAAGTCTGATGATCAGGTACTCACTGTTGCTCTTGATCTTTTTTTTTTGTTTTTTAATTGGACATTTAAGTAATTTCTTGCCCCCCCTCCAAAATGCTGCAGCTGCCTCAGCCCCCCAAAAATAAGATAATGGGCCTCCTCCTTTTTTTCAAAGAAATCTTTTGCAGATTAAAGTTTTCTTTGGTGTTTAAAATAAGTTAAATATTGTGGGTAAAAATGTGATTTTGTCATATTCACATTATATGTGAAGACACTGTAGACCTGCTGAGCTCACTCTGAAAATTCTTGTATGTGTTCGTGACTAAACTAATACCTAAATTAGGTTTCTCATGTAGTTTTGAATAATTTGGATTTAGCTTTTCTAACTTTATCCTGCTCAGTCATACTTTGAGCAACAGAGAGTACTGCTGGGTTTTTTCCACCTACAGTAGCAGCTGGTTAACTTTAAATGCTTTTAACTCTTTGTTAACCTTTGGTTAACCTTTGGTTAACAAAGCACCTTTCTGCTTGTTTGTTATCGTAAACTATGTAATAGGCCATGGTTTCACAATCTATTTCGAAAGTATATGCAGTTTTGATTTGGTTTATCATGAGAAATGTCTTGTTGGTGGGGGAATTATTTTATTGTCATAAAAAGTGATAGAGATCTAAACCATTTCTTCACAGATCTTTCACAACATGCCAAGATCATTCATTTTTCTTTAGGATTCTATGAAAACAGAGTAAATTATTGCAAAGTTGTAGCTGGAATCACCCATAGTTTTAATACACAGGCTAATGACAATGTCCACTGTATAGCAAATGACTTGCTAATGGCTAACGTAAAGTGTAAAATAGCAACATTAAAAGCATAACACCTGAATGCCAGAACACTTATGAAGAGGAAATGGATCCACCAGCCAAACAAAGCAGTTAGTGCTGTGTCTAGAACCTAATGCTCATGTACGTATGTTTAACTGTGTCAATCAAATAAATATAGTACAATTAAACTGTTAATTTAAGTCATTAATGCACACTGTCACTCAAAACAGCCACTGTGACACACTATGTCCAATCATCTTCTTTTTTTCTGTGTGACTGTTACATGAACACTTGTTGTTGAAGGTCAGTGTAAATCACTCTTCAGCTGTATTTGCTCTGCAGTGGTTTTAGAGAGAACCAATGTTAGCCAGAATTTAGATTTCTGATTGATCTCCAGTAAGCGGCTGATGACGCATTGCAACCTGCTCTGGTTGACTGAATGCTCATCATGCGAATCCTGTCTGTGCACCCTCCTCTATTTCTCTCCGCCCCACTCTCCCTTATCCCGGCACTCCTCAAGCAACACAGACATCTGCTTTGAAAGAGATGCCTGCGTGTCCATGTCTCACAGCTTCCCATGATCCCTTGTTCTCTGCTGACTGTGCTCTTGTTTTCCTTTAAGGTCTGGCACACCTGATGATGGGCGACCAAGGTATGAGCTCTCTTCCGTTTCCTGTCATTTCTCCATGGTCCCTCCTGCTCCCATTGCGCTCACAGATGTGTGTGCCTCTAACTTTTGTCCAAAGCTCTGGCTTGAAGCTTCAGATTTGGGCTGTCATTTGACCTAGTTGGTTTTCATTTTCCCAGTGATTTTTTTTTTTCACATGACCCCTTTTCAAGCTCATTTGATTTTCTGCTCCCTAGGTATCCATGTTATTTCTCTCAATTTTTTTTCTTTCTTTTTAATTATTCACATCTATTGTACATTCTGATATTTGATGATGTTGTGAAGTAAAGGAACATTTGCATTCAATCTATTAGGCTGTACTGAATGGTGGTGGAAAATAGCATACTGAAATTTTAAGCTAACCCTCATCCGTCCTCGCTGCTGTAATGCATGTCACACAGACAGCCTCTCCTTTCAATCGTCATCTTTCCATTTGTGTGGTTACTGCATACACTAGTCATGCAGTAGAGCAAGGATGTGAAGCATCGCTGTTCTCTCTCCATCTTCCATTGTTAGTCCACTTTGCTATCACATATTTCTTGTCTGATATTTGCACATATATGTAACCATCAAGCCTATTTTTTCTCTCCTCTGTTCCTTTCCAACTTGACCATGACACTTATCGGTGTCTCCTCTCCTTTTGTTCTCCCTTTTTGTCTGGAATCTGCTTTCTTCATGGAACATTTCATCAAATCTCATAGGTAAAAGTAAAGGTACTACCCTTTTAAATATCTGAGTTTATTAAATTAAGACAGCAGTGTTTTTGGCATTATATACTCACGTTAAACGGAGTATATAAAGCCACTGGCATTTTTAAAAATTGCTTTCTCAACTAATAAACACTTTTCCAAGGTAGGTGCCGCTTTCGCTTTGCAGCCATGCGTTTAAGCTGTGTCACCTGTTTCTTTTCTGCTTGATGCATGGGAATCATAAATGACACTCACATATGACATATGAACACAATAGCTGCTGTCCTAGTTCCAGTACACCACCACCACCCAGGGGTAACTATACTCATATTATTTAGTTCAAATAATTGGTTTCGGGGTTGATCATAGTGTTGTGGGCCTCCCATCCTGGCTGTGATCCTCACCTCTTCTCCCTGTGGGGTAAGTGGACTTCTGATCTTTCCCATGTGACTCTCCTCCTCAGGGCAGAGAGGAGAAGTTTGGCTTCTAAGGTCCCTGCTCAGCGTTCAAGGTAAAACTTTTTCTTTCAACTTGGTTACAGAAATAAATCTAAATTTAGCAAGTCATCATTACTCACTGAAGTGTGGGACACTTGAATGTTAGTGTGTGTGCTCTACTAATTGGAGACTGATATGTATTAGTACATAAAAACTGAAAAGTAGTGACTAACTGACATTCACATGTTCCACCTGCATTCTGAAATAACATTTTCCTCGATTTTGCTTGCTCGTGTTGTTGCTTTGACATGTGTTATAGTCCTAGTTTCATAAATTCTTATAAGCAGTTTTGGAACTATTTTAAAATAAAATATTGTGTTATGTGAAATGCTATCTCTCATATACTTGTGAAGTATCATCTGAACAGGTAAGTCTTCAAACTGCTCTGTAGATGTACAGTATTGGTTTTACTTTATACTGTGTGAACTGGAATCATAGCTATTGTAATGTCAGTTATTCTGCTGCTAGAAGTCTAAGATGTAGTAATACACACACACACACACACACACACACACACATATAGTACAAACAATTTGTCATTATAAAATGCAGAGAATGATTTTTCCATCTCCTAAGGTAAGTGTCATTTCTACATTGTTTGCTTATGGCTCTGCAAAGGGATGCATACATCCCTTTTTAATGCCTTTATTTTTATAGTAGGTCACAAAGAGGTAAATTGGAAACGGGAGAGAGAGGTGGGCGGGGCAAGGTGGTGGATCTACGGCAAATGTTGGTGGTTGGACTCAAACCAATGACATTGTGCATTGCTATATGGTTTTCCTGAGAAACCATGCAGCTATCATGCAGCCCCTCAGTTAATAGTTTTAAATTGTACAGTAGCTTCTGAAACAGTGGATTATAGAGCTCTTTTCATACCTGTTTACTACGCCATGCTGGATGTGGCAGAAGGAACACCACGGGGAGACACTTAGAGAATGCTGATGAAGCACAAACCTAATATTCCTAGGACACGGCTTCTAATTTGGACCATGGTTAGTTGTTCCCGGTGTGAAACCCAATCAGTTCAGTTATGTACTGTGCGGTCACAAACGCAAATACACTCTTGAGTATTAAATCTAAGAGTGTCCATGTTCATTATATGCTTTGAGCTTGGGAGATTGTTGTGTGTTAGCCCCCTGAAGTCCGCTTGTGTCTCATTAAGGACTTGTATGGTTTACCCGCTCTTTCATAGCTGCTGTGTTGAGGATGGGCTAGTTTATGTGTGCTGCTTTCAGCTGTACTGATACTGGATTCCTAAAATCTTGTTTCCATCCAGCTCTAGAGGGCAGGGCATACAGTGGGATAATTCATAATACTGCTGGCACACAAATCACTAGGGTATTTAATTGCTGTCATCACAATAAACTGCCATGCGCAGCTTAAGAGGAACTGCAGGCTGTGCAGACAGGCTTACAGGTACAACTAGGCTATTTCTAAATTAGTATACTTTCTAATGTAATTGCTTTCACATTCTAAAAATGGAAATTGTCCGCTTACATTATGCACTTTTCCTGGGATTTCAAGCAGATCCAGTTTGTTTGTGTATGATGTGCTATATTTAATATTTCAAATTAAATTGATATCTAAAATGCATTATTCCCCTATTGTTTTTATATTAGAGAAAACTGATTCACCAACTCACTTATCCAGCAATCAGCCTCACATGCCAAAAGTTCTACAGTTTCATTCTGTTGGTCTGTCTTTGATATCTTTTAGTTTTCTGTTAGATTTGCATGAGCTAATGTCAAAATTGAATGCTGAAATATCAACGTGACAATTTCATGGCTGTTTTAAGAGTAGAAAGGGTGTAGATGTTAGTCATGTTCTCACACATACACATCTACTGTGGGTTTTAACTGTGAAAATTACAGTTAACAAGTTGTGTGTCAGTGATACATCTGCATATTATTTTGTGTTTTATAAAAGACTTCCAAGCCCCTTTAGACAAAACAATGCCATTGTCACTGGTTGTCAGTGCATATGAATCAATAAATGACATGCTTAACCCATGTTAAGGCAAGGGAGAACATGCAAACTCCACACAGAAAGGTGTGTGCATATGTTTGCATTCCTAATATCATAGTGCAGTAATGGATTGTACTTTAAGCAGGGAGTCAGCATAGCTCAGTGAGTAAGTGCTGTGGGGGTGTGTTTAGGTCAGTGGAAGACATTGAAAAAGCCTCACTTACAGTATGTGGGAAAACCATCCATTTATTTCAACATAAGCTTTAGTTCCCAATTTTACATGAAGTTTTGCCAAATGCTTAACTGCAAAGGTCATAATAGAGTATTATTTCTCACTCGATGCTTCGATTTAGTGTACAAACTTCAAAAATAGCAACACTTTTACCACACATATATATATCTAGAGGCTGTATAACCTGCACTGTCGCCCAAAGCCTTGTAACACCACATGAAAATAAATTACAAATGTATTAGCTGTGTAAACAAGTCCCCAAGCTATTTAACCAGACTTGTCAGTTTTGCCTTATCCAATGGTACATTTTACAAAATAGGATGGTAATACTAGCTAATATTGGCCATTACATTGCTTATCAGCTGGTGGGTTGTACATGACAGCTACGCTGCTTTACAATGGGTAAATACATCACTTCTCTTGATTTAAATCATGTTGACAAATTAACAAGTTAGTTAGGATTAGTTGGTAAGCAAGCAAACAGAACATATTATACAGTGCACAGTTCAAGTTTTATTAAGCTGGATCTGTGACTGGAAGCCGTACAAGAAGTCACTGCTGACGGTGGAACTGATGAAGCAGTAGTGTGTACCAATATAATCACACCAGCTGACAGGCTCACCCAGTCCTGGCTTCCACATTCCACCATGAGCTCCATCATAACGCCCCAGATATTTGGCGTTATGAAATTACATTAAATGAGAATGCAATAAGACTCACTGATCAAGCAGCTATAATTGAAAATCTCTGATTGGTTACAGAGGTCAGTCCTGCTCAAAACCTTTTAAAAGCTAATATCTCTGCGCTGCTGCCAGGGCTGTTCAATAAGTCTGAGTCACAGGAGGCATCGGCAGCACCTCTCCACATTAAGACAAGTTTTGGAGCATATTTCTACAATAAAAACATTTGAAACATGTTACATACTGTAGCTTTAAATATACATTTTATATAAAAAAAATCTCCAAGTTGCACTTTAAAGCTCTGCTGGAGCTGCAGTATGTTATGCTTGTGTCTTCTAAGGATTAAACTTCCCATCAACAACCATGGCTTGAAAATGTCTTAGTCCATTAGGCCCAAAAAAGATATTATGATACAACAAATGTTTTACTTCCTAGGCTGCACATTTTGGTTCATTTGATGTCATCTTTGGTCATCAAAGGAAAATGCCAGATTCTTAAAATTACACAAACCAAAGACAAAGGCCTAATTTTCTTCTGACAGCACAGCAGCAGTGACAGTATATTTTGATTGTTTGGTACATTATTGCTTTTGTATAACTGACCTCACAAGAAATACACTATGTGCCAGAGTGCGGAGCTGCAAAACTGAATATAAAAAGCAGCAGGTGAAGAGAGTGCACCAGAGCATTGCATGTTGGTTCTACGTGGGCTTGAGCAGGGGCCTTGTAGGCTCATGGCTTTCACATGTCCTTTCTTTCACAGGATCAGGGTTTAGCAACACCTTGACTAAACTGGCACACGTCAGTCAGAAATAGTGTTTATTTTGTCAGGCAATGGAGAGAAACAGAGTGATATGTCATGGTATTTTTAGACATTCATAGCATCATTTTGAGCTTTATGTTTTGTGTGTATGATACTGGTGATGATGGTGGTTGATCAATATGAAGAAAATCTTTATGAGGTGGAAACCACTGCCTTAAGTTGCCAGATGGTGCCTTTGTAGCTTCACATGAAAACCACAAGACTGTCAGTGAAACTTTTTCAGCAACACTGACTCCTCCAGGATTGCAGTTTCTTAGCTTCAGTCCTACAAATTAAACATACCACCCTCTCAAATAGGGAGCGACCTATAAGGTGGACCTTAAGGTCATAATTAAGAGAACAACAACATCCTCTAGTGACATGGGCACTGAGTGCCAATTTCTGATGGTCTTGATTCATAGTCTCCTGGAAGGTAGTACTCAGAATTAATAACACCTTGCAGTGAACAGTACACTTTCATTATGTAAAATGTCAGTGAAGTGCTTTTTGAGAAGCTGACTCAGAATTTTCAACAAAAAACCCAGTTGGCCTTTTCTCTGTGTCTTAGCATATTTGTAACATTATTGCCATCTGGTCTGAATACCCCAAACTTAACTGAAGCTCACACTGTATACAAATCAGTAGCTCTTTTTCCCCTAATCAGGAAATAATTGTCAATATATAACATAAAAATAATGTGCATTTGGTCTATTTTAGATTAATTTACTGTTGTGTTTGTTGATCTTAGCTACAGTAAATGGTTCACTAAGAAGATGATTTACTGTTGTGTAAGATAAATCAGAATGACCCTTTCATGCATAACTGTCACTACAGTGGGCAATATACTGT